CCGCCGATACCCGTATACTGAGAAATTAGACTTGGATGGTTAGAGTTTTTGGGGTGGTATTGCGTTAACTATACATTGGAGCAGATTATTGGCCTTTTGCATTATGAAATAAACTGTGTCTTGGGGCTCGAGCGCAGAACCTGGTCGTGGGCATCACCTTTAGCCCATTTGATTAATAGGCGAACGTGTTACCACGGCGCCATGACGAGGACAGCTAAATTGGACTTGTCTCACCCCGCAAGTAGCCATCCTGTAAACAGGTACGCCTCCCAGAAAATGTTCTTCTGTACAGTTACTCGTATTATGTATACATTGGAAGAAGCTTACAATATAGTGGCGTAGACGAGCCAGACAACGGACACCGTCAACACCGATGCCGTCCTCGTCTTCGTCATCGGCGCCCTAAGGCGCAAGTCAATAAACGCGACGAACTTTTTTGGCATTCAAGTGACGAACGTCTCGTAAATGGGAAGAAAATGTTCTTCCCTAGAGAATATTTCCCCGCTATCGGAATGGTACCGTACGGCTGATGATAGTAAAGCGGCAAAAACTCAATTACTAACTGTCGCCGCTCCGCGCTTCAGGCCACCGCAGCGAGAAACCTGGATGTGGCATCCGGTCAGAGTGTTGCGGTCTGTTCGTATCGTACGTACCATTCGTTCCCGCAAGGAACAAAGACAATAGCGACAGAAGAAGTAGCAGCAGCGGCATAGAAATGGCGGACGTGCGAACACAGTCACGGTGTCGTCCAAGGTCATCGGGATCTTATCATTGTTGCTAGTCACTGGTCTATAGACCGCGCAACGGAACCCCGTTGGAATACTGCGGCCGCTCGGTAACGTCCGTCGGCTGAGCGTTAATCATGCCAGCGGCCGGAAGAGTAGCATTCGGGTGTTGTACCTCAATATATAATTTTAAACAATTCCTCTATCTCTATTTACGCGGAGCCCGATTATCTGCATTACTGTTATCCATCGTAAGTAACTGAATATGTATCCGGTATCTTCTTGGCCACAGATACGTGATCACTGCTGTTGCTATTACTAATATTGCTATTATTATTTGAGTTCCTCCTGGTACTGACCAATTTTATAGCGTGTAGTAAGACAAAAGGGAAGGTATGCGCCGCTTGGATATCTTCACAAGAGTTAGACTTTTTTTGGGTGCCCCTTTACCGTGAGGCTGATTTCTTTTCATTCTTTTCTTTGTGTAAATTATTTTTGTATAAAAATGCTTTTCGAGAGACGCTTGCAAGAAATCTGAAGGCAGAAACATATCTTTCGACTGGTCCGTATATCTGTTTGCCAGTCATTTCTCAGAAGCGTTCTCAGGCGTCCTTCGTTGCGTTTATACGTATTTTCTAACCTCGCGTTCTCTTTTGGTCGTAAAACGGTAGATACATGAAGTTGTATGTATAACATATAAGGTAGTGGAATGACACTCTGTTAGTCGACGGCCAGGTCGATATAAATAATGGCCAGTTTGGGTCCTTCTACAAAACAGGAACAAATATCGTTTCATTTGTTTTTGTCGATATATTACAATGTCACAAAGCTGTACACGAGAAAGATCATCAATGGAGTGAAGTTCTGTCAGCAGCCTGGATGAAACGCGACAAGACATCGCACAATTCGATTGCTTCATAAAATGCCCACTGTGACGGTTAAAAACGTCACCGGTAGGTAAGCAAAAATCATTAATAAACCAATGGCAGAAACAGTTATGGGTGGTAACGTAGACACGCTAGTTGATTGTGGCGCAGATGTTGTAGCAGAGAACTACAGTGCACTTCCACTTGGGCCAGACATTTTATCCTCTCTTGGGCCTATTTATTGTTATGCCTAGTAAAACGTATACATGATTATATGGTATTTGTTCATAAAGAAATACCTCAAACTATAAGTAGAGTCGAAAAAAATCGTGAATAGAAGATTGCCGGTGACGAAAATCATGCTTGCCACTTCCTGGTGACAGATGGCGCATTTACGTGGCTACTGTTCATAGTCATACGACGATGTAACATTAATATATTTCGTTATATAATAAATCTGTTAGATACTATTGACTCTGAAGCATAGAAAGTTGTTTTGTATTCGATCTGCTGGTTGAAACGATAGCGTGAATAAGGATCAGGAGATTCAATTTATGTTTTGTCTAAAGGTACGCCTATGTTTTCTGTACAAATTCTACTCAACACTTATTGTTACTGTTATCAAAGGAGGAAAGCAATCTTTTCATTTCTATTGACTTTCACATGGAGAAGTTATTAGAGACAAGTTGCGAGCTGAGTTCGACAAGCGGACGTTTCGATTACTGCGACATATGTAATGGCAAATGGAGGGGAAAAATGCGACTCCTTTCACCAACCTGTGTCCACGCGCGTCTTAGAAAATTTTTGACGAAAAGGCAACCGCAAAGAAAAAACGAAAGTAAAAGCTGAATCTAAACAACGCTTTGTCTTACCACGCATTGGTAAAGATAGACAAACAGCGACCCAAAAAAAGACGCAGCTTCCCAACAACACTACTGTGTCACGAAATCTCTTTTTAAACATGGGCTTTCCACCCAAAATTGCATCGGCAGCAGAACATATAGCCAATGCCGTCTGCAAGATCCAGCGTCGGGCTCAACGGAACGCAATTAAAGACCTGCACTCATCGATGACCCCGTATTTGTTGGTACGCTACGGTCTGGCGATACGCTATAACAGTACAATTGATCGCAATGGAATATGGAACAGGATGACATCAAATCTGCAAATTAAACTGCAAAAAATTTTGATACAAAATTTAGAAAATCACGTCAGAGAGAAAGGGTATCTTAAATACACAACTATTACGGGCATTATTTTGGAAACAACCCCACCGATAATAGTTGGAACAGTACTCATAACTAGCTACCAGGCCTCTTTATAACTCTTCTACGCAGTTGATCGTTTACGTCCTCACTATTCAGTTATGGGTAGATTACGCGCGTTTACGTCTAGTCGATGTCGAAGCCATACTGAGCCAATTAGACCTCTCGCCTGATCCATGAACCGTGGTTTTACGCGTTAACGGAACGTCAGCACTGATCAGCATCGTCGTTTCGTGCCATATTACCCGCGATGTCGACGGATTCATTCTTCCAGCAGAGGGCTAAAAGATACCTATTTCCAGAAGCTGTAAGCTCCAAACGCTCGGCGTATAATCAGAATATTTATTGGAGTCTAGTTTCGTTTCGACGAAGCCGCGGTAACTTCTTCAAAATTCGATGTTTGTTTATTGGTAAATTATTTATATTATCACTAGTAATAATACAGCGTATAATTTACTTTACTAAGTTATTGAATTACTAAATTGGAGAGATCGGTCAATGATCGGTTCCGATGTTGGCACAATCGGCTGTCTGTTTTTATGACTAAATACGACGAACTTCTCTGAAAGGCCGGAAGGATTTACTAACGGGCGCTCGCTAAAATTCACCGAGACCATAGAGAGTCATAGGATGAACCAATAGGACGACTTTCGGACGCTAGATTCTTTACAATGACGCCAAATAACAATAGGACGGTAGTGAAATAACTATGGTTGTACGTTGACCACCGAGTGATCGGATCCTGTGAATGGGAAAAACTTTATTAATTCGTAGAGCGAGCAATTTTTTTATTGGAAGTGAACGACAACAGACTGTGCACTAACCGGACACACTAATGGGTGAGCCAATATCTTTTTTGTACGAAATTTAATGTGCTTCGGTTGAGTGAGAAATCATCGCTCAGCTTCAATTATGCGTCTGATGTTTGCTACTTCAAGCGTGTCGCTGGAAAAGATCCGTCTGATACACGTGTCTGATTAGATGTACCTCTGTACAGGATAATTTTAGCGAAAGTTTCTACCAAGTCATTGCAAAGTTACAAAATTAATTGTGTGTTTTCGGCGGCACGTCACAAAGTCTCAGCAGAGGTTGTCGAATCTATTACTGCCTCTGGTTTTCATATCTCGACGTAGAATGTAGCTGAAGCTGCTATCAATATTGGCGAAGTTTGCTACAGATTAATTGAACGACGAACAAAAACAACGACCAAACCCCATTACTGCAGATCCCTAGGCAGCAGTAATAGGGGCGTGGGGTTTAGCTAATGGCCTCCCACGTTGAGCCGAAAATCAGCCCCTACCCGGCGCGAACTAAAACGACAGCTGCACAGACGATTCGCTGAACGATCCACCTGCATCGTCTATCCCAGTGTAACGTTATGCGGCCCTTCTTTAGCGCACCTACGGAAACAGTCACTTATCATGCTTTAAACACTTAAAAAAAATAGCAACGATAAGTGCTACTATTCTTCGGCTTTTTTCTTCTATTATGACTGCGAAAACAATGGAGGCCTGCAAAAGTCACGTTTGGCCTTTAGGCATTAGAAGCACACGGAGTGTAATTGTGAGGTGTTCGTATAAGCCCCAATCGATCGTATGAAGATCAGTTTTTTTTTTTTTATCTTAATCATAACCGAACAGTAGCAACGGCGTTTGCTGACACTCGTCTTTCATACAGGTAATGGGCAATGTGAGGTGTCTGTGAGGTTAGCAAAGCTGTATACACGCAGTATAATATCGTGTCTCTCCCTTCACTGGATGAGAAACAGCAAATAGCCTGCAGATTATGGCGTATCTGACATAATCTGTCGTGAATAAAAAAAAAACAAGCTTTTTAAATAAACTCTTTCTACCAGCAAAAAATGTACAGTGTGCAACGTGATGCGCATCAGCATTACAACCTTTGGATCTGGAAGAGCAGACGTAAAACGTGACCAGTATACAATAATAGTTCATTTAATATCAGTATCTGAAGGAGACCATGGGAAAACGTTCCCATTCGTGCAGTTACCCCACTCAAGCATATTTTAGTAAACAAGTTTAACAATTTTCTGCCCGCTCTGATCTGAAACGATATTATATGGCAGAACATAAACAGTAAACTGAACATAGAAATCAAATATCGAGCACACAAATTCAACTTACCCTTTTCCGGACGCCGCAATAAAGAGGGTCGTCGCTTCGTGAAAATAGGCTGAGCCTCAAAGACGTATTGGTTCCGCCCTGTCCGTAGGCAACGCACGGCTCTTTCCGTAGCTCTTTCGTAATACCGCGCTCGTTGACATCTCGCGTGTGTACAACCCCTTGGAAAGGCTTATCCGTAGCGACCGAGATCGTAATATAGCCTTTATCGCAAACAGCACTAACTGATGGGGAGAACTCGTCGTCTTGGCCTAAGGCCACCTGAAAATACGATTCAATGATAAATAGAGACATTTGTATGGACCTGTTTATATATAATGGGTATATATAGTTGCAAATACCTCATCGATGCTATTCACTATAAATTATTACACACCTAGAATCACAGTTCAGTGGTTGACGAAACTATGAATTTATTTATATAAAATTATTTTGTATTTTACTGTAGTTCTGTGGACTAGGAAGGAGGAAGGCTTAGTTCGCGTGTGTGCAATTGACTGAACAAGGTTATAAAATCATTGCCAGAGTGTAGATCCTGAGCAAAGAATAGCTACTACGGCGCGCAGTATATCTAAATAAGTTTAATACCTGCAGGCGAAATAATCATTGAAAAAAAGGACAAAGTTCGCACAAAAAGAGACGACATAGGACCGTTTATGTGGAAACAGCGAACGAACTACGCTTGAGGTTCCACGTGGAAAGAAGTGTAATAGTCATAGGACCATAGTAACATTTGGATGAAAACCTATCGATGTACAATTTTTATAATATCTCAAGCAAAATGAAAATAATGATTTGTAACTTTCGAAGAGAACTCCATCGGTACGGCTTTTTAAAAATCCATCTTTAATTATATGTCTAACAAAGTTACCTCAACTGGCCAACTTAAGCATATTCCTTACCAAAGCTACAGTTTTCATTAAACTTCTACATAAGGCGTGGTATAACCATTTTCTTCGTGGCATACTTTTACGGCTCGCAATAATCCCCCACACGTATGTTATGCCTATGCAGTGCCAACAGAAAATAAGTTGAACGGCGTCACGAAGCGGCTTGCTAATTATCCATCTTGTTTTCAAATAGAAAAATGCACCACGTGGGCCAAGCCACAAAGCCGCACGCAAAAAGGAGAGCGTCCCTAAGGATTCGAATTGGATTCACGATGTCGTATCAAAAGCGATGATAACTGAAGCCTTTCTCGCTTTCGTTGCTCTGAATACTGTGTAGCCCCTGAGGTATCTCAGCGACCCCTATCTATGCGATAATTGCCAAAATCTTACCCGACCAATCTTTGCACAGAGCCGATGTTCTTATCATTTAACAATGTGGTCTTTTCATAATAGTGACGACTGCCAGCTCGTCGTCGATACGGCACTAAATATCAAATAGCAGCGTAAAAATTAGACAGGTACACTGCTACTTCCATTATATCTGTTACTGGGAGAAGAATAACTATAAAAAGGCCATCGGTGCGTTTCATCAGACTAGATATCGTATCTCTGATATGCTCATATGTCTTTTCTTGCTATTAAGTATCGTTACGCAAGGCGTTCTAGTTAGAATTAACAGTACGCTGCAGCCGGAATTATAACTCTGGATTTACACAGATTTTATGCCAGTATGGGCAATGATAACCATATAGTAATAAGTAGGTAACAAAACCTTATATTATAAAACATAATAACGACATTTCATCAGTAGACCGGCTTGTCGAAAAAAAAAAAACCGAAAAAAAAAAGTCTACAATACGCGATCTTTTTTATGCCATTCTATTGCGTTGTTGCATGCAGATGAATAAAACCTTGTCAGAATTGTAAGTACTACATTATTTAGCTTGTTTGTAGATTACTAGGTTCAAGATCCATGCGTTCTGATCGTGCTCTGACAGCGTTTCACCTATTTAACTAGTTACGAAACCCCTCATACTTTTCTTCCCCAGATCGCTACGCATACGAGAGGTGTCTGGAAAATGATTACATATAAGCTAACTTCAAGTAGATGAATCACTTGACACGATTCGGGAATTGTGAACAATTGAGCCTTTCAGTTATTGGACTTTATTAGCCATTACATCTACTGTGAAGGAAATGTAGGAACTATGTCCTAGTCAACGATGCAGTTACTCGTATAGTGTAAGATACAAAATACTGACTGGCCAGTGAAGTATCATGAGACAGAAATTCCAACCAACATCTAAATGAAGCCACGTTGACAGCATCATCTGCTACCAACCGTTTAAATAATGATTTACCAGCCATTAAATAACGGCTGTCCGATTGTTTTTTGTGGCTTACTAACATATTGCAGCGGACTATGTCGTATGTTACAATGACAACAAAGTACGTCGTAACTGCCAAGGAGAACAAATCTGTTTGCGCTCATTGTCACCTGTCACTGATCCATTTAACTGTTGCACGCAGATTCATGAGAACGTTCTATCAGTTGTACTGCAGGGTAGAAAATCTACTAGGTATAAGTCAAATAGTATACGTTACAGCTTTACCGGTAATGGCCTCTCTATTAGAGTAGAATACGTTTGCGAGAAGCTTTTCTCTCTTATAAATTTCAAATCTATATAATGTAGCGTTAATTTATAGATACTTGTATCTAAATTTTGTGGATCATAAACAGCACGCTCCGATTATGCAACGGATTAATTAACGTTTCTAGTTGCCTAGGTTGAATACGACCTTTCTCCAGGCACGAAAAGACCCTTACAAAAGCGACAGTTGCGGCCGTTTTCTACAGAGTCTCTAATAAATCAGGTATGATATGAGATATCGTAGAGCGATTCACAGGATATTAAATATCCCAGCTTCCGCAGCACGATGCACAGAGCCAGTTGCAGGCAAGGCCAGCGTGCTGTTCTTTGAAGGGCGTTTGGTACTCCGCCGGTCGATAGGCACGCACTAAGAGAGAAATAACTTTTCCAGTGATAGCATAACGGTCCCTTTTGCCATCCTTAAGCCCTCGGTTCCGCGTAATGTCCTGCTGAAGGTTAACTCTGGAACAGAGCGCATTCGGCTCGGCGCTTTCTTGTTCTTTCATGGGAAATCGATATCTGTTATTATGACAATTTCGTACAATCAAAGGTCTCGGAAGAATAATAAAATCATTATTACGTTATTAAGGTCCTTCTTTTGACGTAATCAAACAAAATATTCCCGCTTCGGACAAGCTGAATGTTGATCTCAACACCTAACGTTGATTATGGCACGTCTGCAATTCATTCTATTGCGATGTAGGTAGAGTGTACCTTATAAACCTCAGTCGGCCCTAATTCAGAATGGCTAACAAATTCTGGCTCTTGGATTATGTTTCATATAGGACCTCAATTAAGTTTTATTTATTCATCCTTGCTGGCAGTTACTAAAAAGTATCAGAAAATATATATAAGATTATTTACAACACTTTGCGCTAACTTTCCCTACATTAGATACGTATCGTCAGGCTCGTCGGAACCTGATTTTCAGCGGAGTCAATGGTGGAGCCCATAAATAGCAAAGCAAGAGACGACATGTCTATTTAGCCGGTTTGCCCCTTTTCACCCATTTTTCCTCATCGTAACCGAAGCAAAAATCCTCATCAATCTCTGCAAAGTTTTGCCCCTGGTTACTAAGACTCGTCTTAAAGGATTCCGTTACTTAAAGTTTACCACGACGTCGTAGGTCCTCGGACAACACTGCCGAGTCAATCAGAAGATACGTCAGCTGTTTAGGAATTACTTACTACTAAAGAACGAAGCTTTAACGCGATTTAATTGTGCGACTTTCCTTTTTTACTGTAAGATCTTCTCAAATGACGCGTATCGCATACATTGCTATCGGAGCTACTTTAAAGTCCAACGAGTTGAGAGCAGTTGCGAGGGCAAGCGATAAAGGGATTTGATCGTTTACGCGACCAACACTGCCTCTCTGCATTTTTCTTATCCTTCACATAGAAGAGCAGCTTCAAGTACGGAAACTGGTTGGCGTATACAAGAGCGAAGTACAAAGTGTCAGAAGCAGCGTCCCCTTCTATACTTCATCGCGTTCGTCTTAGTCAGGCTTACGAACTATCCTAAATTTGTGAGTATCCCTTGTTGCTGGGGGTGTGGTCGCGCTCAACGCCGTTTCTGTGAAGCATTCCCTCCGTAATTCCGTGATTTCACTCAGATGGCGCGTGCGCTTTCTAACTAGCTTCTTACTCAACAAGCTGGAGAGCAGTTTATAACAAAAGTTTTTCGTCCCTGTTCTTGGCCATGATGATAGCGGCTAGGTCACTCTTTCCTTTAGCGATTACGAACAGGGTAGCATACTTCCACTAGGTTGGGAGTGTATTAGTACGTTAACATTATTTTTTTTTACAACATTTAATAGCAGAAAGACGACGCATTTGATACGCTTGTTGCAAACCCTGTCTGGATTTGCGGCTTTCTCGTAATGTAAGCTCATTAGATACTCGGCTAGTTTCTCTACTGTAAAGTTTTGTTGAAGGGAATCGCGTTACTTTCTTCCTAGGCTACGGTGAAAAAAATGCATAGTATCGTATCCCTTAACGCAAACATTTTCTAGAAGTAATTTGTGAGGTTTGACAGGCTAATCGAGTAAACCGCCAAGCTGTCGGGATGTATTGGCCAATTATATAGTTCACGTTCGGCATCAGCGACCAGACGGGTCTCCAGCCATTACTGTCGCCACAAGTGACGCCCACATTTATCGACAGATCGTTATAAAAACAGAGGCCAAAAGGTCGAGCTCAGACTGTACCTCGGTCATAGACCTTAAGGCCACCTGAGTCCTCCAAGTAAAGTTGCAAGTATAGTTGGAGCATTGTTTACGCTTTCGTAGGGGGACGGTTGTATTGTAGACTAAGAACCTCAATCGAATGCTGCGTATAAGCTTTGACATCCAGTACTTCAAGTACAGAGAGAACTTTGTACATGGCTTCCAGGAACTTATGTACAACTAGGCGTCGTGACACAGCTTGGACAATGAGGTATCGGTATGCAAGACCGAATACTTGTGCTTTCTCACAGGAAGTAATGTTCACCTTGAAACTGTACCCTGTCTAGGTTCATCACAAATGCATCGATAACCAAACTTCCTGCATCTTCCAGGAATGTTATTTTATAGGTAAAATTGACTATCAGCAACGAAGGTCCGGGAGCGTATCCTAAAGAACCATAATGCAGCTCGAGGTCATCTAATCGAGGCAGGTGTTGAAGTCGCCGGCAACGACCAGAAGAGAAGCAGCGCTTCCGGTCCACTGACAAGCTTCTC